TTTTGAATAAAACCAAGTTTAGTAACTGCATCATGAAATTTGAGATACCATTGTCTAGAAGACTGTTTTAAACCATATAGAGATTTTATTAATTTGTAAACTTTATGTTCCTGTTCTTTCACCTTAAAACCTTCAGGTTGTTGCATATATATTGCTTCCTTCAACTCTCCGTTAAGGAATGCAGTTTTAACATCCATTTGGAATAACTCCAAATCAAGATATGCAACAATAGCCAAAATAATTCTAATGGATACAAATTTAGCTACAGGAGAATATGTCTCCTGAAAATCTATTCCTGCCTTCTGGTTATAACCTTTAGCAACTAATCGTGCTTTGAATTTATCAATAGATCCATCAACACGATATTTCTTTTTGAGCACCCATTTGCATCCTATGGCTTTCCTATTTTCTGGTAGATCACATAACTCCCATACCTTATTCTTTTCTATGGAATCAAGTTCTTCTTTCATAGATTCTAGTCATAAAGCTGATTCATGCGATTTCATCGCATCAGAAAAGGTTAAGGGATCTTGTTCTTCTATATTTGTATCTACCGAAAAACAGGATGACTCACATGAATACAAATAGTAATCATCCATCCATGAAGGTTGTGTTCTTGGCCTTTTGTTGCCTATAACCGGTTGATTAGGTACATTATTTTCCATAGGTATTTCATCATTTTCAAGGTTAAGTTCATTCTCAATATCGGGGTTATTAGTGGGAACAACACTGTAATAATCATCATCTATTACAGTTAGAGGTTCTGTTTCCTCTTGAACTTGTTCCTCTTCCTCTAGATTCTCTAGAAATGTAGCATCTCTGCTTTCAATGACACCTTTTTCTTTATTGTAGAACTTATAACCTTTTGACTTTTCTGAATACCCTATGAATCTACACTTTATTGTTTTAAAATCTAACTTATCTCTAAGTTGACATGGAATGAGAACATGGACTATAGATCCCTATTTTCTGAGATGACTCAAATTAGGTTTCCTCTCATTCCATAATTCATAAGGTGCAGATGCTACTGATTTGGTGGGAATTCTATTTAAAATGTAGTTAGCAGTTAACAATGCTTCTCCCCAAAAATTTTTAGAGAGACCAGAATGAGACAACATGCATCTAACTACATTAAGTAATGTTCTGTTTTTTCTTTCAGCAACACCATTCTGTTGTGGCGTATACGGCATTGTTGTATGCCTTTTAATTCCATGCTGAATACAATAACTTTCAAATTCTTTAGAATTATATTCTCCACCTCTATCAGTTCTCAAAATTTTGATTTTCAATCCAAGTTGATTTTTAACTTCTGTCTTATATCTCTTAAAGCAGTCAAAAGCTTCTAATTTTCTGGACATAAGATAGACGTGTGCAAACTTGGAATAATCATCTATAAAAGTAATAAAATATTCTTTATTACTATGAGTTTCGACACTTAGGGGACCACAAATATCCGAGTGTATCAACCCTAAAAGTTCATTGGCTCTATGTCCGCCAACAAAAAGTTTTCTTGTCATTTTACCAGTTAAACAATGTTCACATGGTGGCAATTGAACATTAGATAGTGCAGGAAGCAAGTTCATTCTGATAATTTCTTTCATTTTTGAAATACTAGCATGTCCTAGTCTAGAATGCCACAATTCAGATTCAGAAATATAACAAGACAAGTAGTTCAAACTCGAAATTTTATTATCAGAATTATTACAAACTACTGGAAGAATGCATAATTCATGCTCGGGCACATATTTTCCCATAGCATACACTTTATTATTCTTGCCTATAGAAACCCTGTTATTATAGAACCTCACTTCCAGTCCTTTCTTCATCAAGCTGGGAACAGAGATCAGATTGCGTCGAATTCCTGGCGCATAGAACACATCTTTGAGGACAAGAATGCTGTCCCCAAGATCCAATCTATACGAACCAATACCTTCTACATCGAGATAGGTATTATTTCCCATATAGATTCTCTGTTCTCCTTTCTTCAGCTCGGTGAATTCTACGACTCCATTCTTGTCCTTTGCGATATGCCTAGTCGCACCGGAGTCGATCCACCAACCACTGATATCCGTCATCACAGCATTACATTCCGTCACACCGACGAATTCTCTTTTGCTAGTACCCCCTTGTTCTGGATTCTTATAGCCTCCTTTATTCTCCTGCTTTTCACCTTGTGGGCAATTGGGTTTGAAATGCCCGAACTTTCCACAATTGTAGCAGGCTCCGCGGGGTACTTGCTTTCTCTTGAACTGTTGTGACTTCGGTCCTCGCGGTTGTGGTTTACTAGGATCAGGGTTTTTATAGCTTCCAGTATTATGCCCCTGGCGGACATAATTCAGCTCTTGCTGCACCATATTCAGTTCTGGTTCCTTCCTACTGGCTATTAAGTCTTGTTCTATCGCTAGGTGCATAGGAAGATCAGTGACAGACTTAATGGCATGATTCATTCTTAATATGGTGGCAGCCACAGCAAGTGAAGGGGGAAGACTATTCAAAATGGTTGCCACTTGCATTCTTTCTGGGATTTCGGTCCCAGCAGTGGATAAGTCCTTAGCCATGACAATCATTTTATTTATATGCTCTACGACATTGTCTCCCTCTTGCATACGACAAGAATTATACTTATGCAAGAGTAGTTGGATGTTAACTTCAGAAGCAGTGTCGTAATTTTCTTTTATTGCATTCCACATGTCCATGGAAGTCTTATAAGTTTCAAAATCTTTGATTAAGTTATCTTCCATGAACATGAGCATAAGACTCTTCGCCTTTTTATCTTTCGACTTCCACTGTTCAAACCCTTTCTTTTCTTCAGGTGTAGATTTGTCAATAAGGGTTGGAGCAGTGGTTTCGATTATATCATCAATATTGTCATGAATAAGAGCATACCCTATTTTTCTATGCCACATATCATAATTACTACCATTAAATTTGTCAATTTTCCCTAGTTCTGATAGAACGAGTTTACTAGCCATTCGGTAGAGAACTAAAACTAAATTAATTTAAAAAATTTATAAGGTTGATATTTTGACAATTATACTAAAATAAAATAAATTAGATAATAAATAAGTAAATAAATAAAAAGAACCTGATTGTTCCGAGTAGATGAAAGAAGTTCCAATTCGAGCGAGATTGTCACTCAACGGTGTTGATTGGATCAGCACTTGTCGAAGATTTGGCGCCGTTTCTGACTAGATTTTGAAGAAGGTCCACTATGTGAAGAATCAAACCCAACAGCAACCTTGATTTTCTCCTCACGCTCACTGATATCGAACCAACAGCAAGCCCTTTTTTTTTTAAGGTCTGCTGGTTTCGAAGAAGGTGTGATATAGGAAAAATGGGCTTTGTAAAGATTTATTAAGGGAACATGGGCCTGGCTTTGTTTTAACAAAAAAAATGGGCTTTGAAAATAAAAAGAAGGATGGACAGATCCAAGCTAGAAATAAAGTGAACGTGGGCTTGTGAATGTGGGTTTTGAAAGAATAAAGTGGTTGGGTTGATTTGTAATTGGGCCTCGTGAAACTTGAGACTTGGGAGGGCACAGCTTCTGTTTCTTGGAGTAGAGGGCACCGGTTCAGATCAGACCCCTTCACAGCGGCGACAAAAAAAACAGATCCAGAGCGCCTAGGGCAAAGGGTCGACGACGAAAACTTTGATCTCGCCGACTGATGGCGGAACCTGATGGTATGATGATCCTTTCTCCGGTGATTTGATCTCCTCCAGCAGCAGTCGAAGTCGCAACGTCGTCGTCGTCGATCGTCGATTGAGGCAGTCGTTGTCGATGGCAGCGTGATGGGAGTTGAGGATCAAGGCTCTGATACCAGTGTTTGATCACAGAGAAGAAGAGAAAAGAATAGATTTCGTTGAGGGGGGCTCCGGTAATGGGTAAGAGGGCTTGATTTTTCTTTTTCGTTGTGTTTCTATAAGTAGATTACACTCCTTTATATAGGCCATAAATCCCATCATCTCCACCCCCCTCAAACTGCCTCTGAGAGATTTTCTCTCAACAAACCCCATATCCCACGTTTCTCTCCACTTGAGAAGCGTTGATTTGGTCACACAATACCAAGTCAGACTAACAGGGTCAACATAGTCTTTTGTTATTTTTGGATTGTTTGATTTTGCTGGTGTCGATTTTATTGTTATGAGAGGAAAACTATTTAGCTATTTATGTATAGTTTCTAAGTTATATACAATTTTAACAGTAAAAAATACCTATGAAAAACCAATACCAATGATACTTGACCACGTGCAAAAAGGACGTGCATCCGAGCTAGTTAATACAAATATGTTAGCTAAACTAATTGCATCAAAATATTGAATAAGTGCAAATAGTATCAAAAATCAATATAATCGTCAAGTCAAATTTTATCATAAACACATAAACTTCTTCTTCCGCATAAATTCGCGGCCATTTGAGTACTTTTTTTCATATGAAATGTGGAAGTTAGTTTTTGTTGCTTCACATGACAGGCCAACGTTCTGTCGAAAGCTTAAACTGTCCCATTTTGACGAGTGCGAGACTCGGGAAGCGAAGGGCAAAGTGGTGGACCCCAAGCAAGAATTTCAAACCAACATTATCCCCATCTTTGAGGAAATCCCTTTAGTCCAAAAACCCTGGGTAAAACCTTGCATCGGGCATAGAGTCTCTACATTCTTTTTTTTTGGCCGTGTAGGGGTGAGCACGGTTCGGTTCGGGTCGGTTTTTACCAAAATTTGAACAACCGAACCGAACCACCTATAATTCAAAACCGAACCGAACCGTTACAAATCGGTTCGGTGCGGTTCGGTTCGGTTTGTTCGGTTCTAACCTACATCAAGTATAACATTCAAATGCACAAATATTGCTTGTCCCAAAAGTTTATATCCAAGCATCCAAGCAAATAAACAAAGCAGCAAATGAAATAAGCACCAATTGAATATAGAAGCAAGTGGGAACATACAACTAAGGTATCAAAAAATACATTGTCAACAGGAATCACAGGAATACACTTCGGTACAAAATGTGATTTACAGCACTTCTAACTTGACGCAACATACAACTGAGGTATCAAAAATACAGTCAACAGGAATCACAGAGAAGACATCAGTACATCAACAACAGAAATGTAGAGTTAAAGTTTACATACTCATACTAACATGAAAACTGTAAATAGAAGAGAACAATCACAGAACGAGGTACAAAATGTAAATCACGGCCAAAGTGTAAATCACAGAACGAGGTACAACATGTCTGCAACCGTGCCGATGAAGCACCATGAGCCGAGATCCTGCAGTCAAGTACAAATTGTAAATCACAATGTTGTTCTTAAAGTTGAGAATTTTCTTGTATAATTATAGGCCTGGCTAGGGACGTGAGCGAAGTATCGGTTAAAAAAGGAATTGAGAATTTCTACATTTACTTTAGGTTTTGTAGAAAAGATTTCAAGATTTTGAGGCTCCTTGCGTAAACAAACAGTCCAGAATTGTATGTTATGCTTGCTTGTGGTGTACTCTAGATATGTTTTTTTCATTATAATGGTGTTCATGATAAACTATTTTCCACTTCTTTCTAAAAAAAAGAATGTGGTTGCTTCTGATCTACATACAACAAGAGAAATTTATATATTAAAATGCACGAGAGGATAAAGTCTATGGATGATGAGCTGTGAGCACAAGGAGAGGATTATTGTTGTTGTAATACAAGGGACTTAAGTTTTATAGTAATCTGAGGCCGATACTTCCCATCCCTTCAAAAGCAATATACAAGAAAATTACTCCATGAAAGTTACTTTAAAGCATATTTATGAACTGAACTGCATATACCAAGAGCTAGATCAGAACATTATATATAGCAAGAAAATTACTTTAAAGCATATTCAGATTTTCTCCACTCAAAACTCATAGTAAGTTGAGGAGAATTGCAACCTTCATGTAATATTATGGAGACACTTGAATTCATAAAGATCACAACTTTATTTTTACCTGTGTTCTTCCATGAAAGCTCTTACAAATCTGTGATTGTCGGTTCAATTGAAAGCTTGCCCAAATCTGAAAGATAAACAAATAAAAAGTTAATAAAAATCAAATCATTTAACATACAAAAACATAAATGGTAAATACCTATGTCTAACTTCTTAAGAGCATCCAAATCTTCTTCAAAGAAAATTTTGCTCGAACCCGGCGTAGCCAACAAGTTTCGAAGCCAACAACTTTGTTCTGATTAAAAGAGTTTGATTCATGGTTTCGAGATCCATTACCACTACAACATCAGGATAAAAACGAAAAATAGATTAGATCCATTACCACTACCAGCATCATGGTTTCGAGATCCACAAGAAAAACTAAAAGACTGCGGAATAATAGATTAGATCCTGAGCAAAAGAAAAAAAGAGATCACTGAGAGTTATACCTCGGCCTCGGCGACATTGACTGGTGCGGGTGTCCCCCCAAAGTTGGAGGTACATCTGGAGCCTGATTCTGAGGCGGAGTTAGATCCATGAAGTATTGAAGACTGTGGCTGAGGAGAGTGAGAGAGGCGGGCGGACCGTGGCTGAGCGCGAGACAGTGGCAGAGGACGAGATGTGAGCAGAGCGCGCGGCGTAGGTCGAGGCTCCTGGCACTCGGTGCGCCCTGAGTCGAGCAGTGAGACGAGTGCCGAGAGGAGAGGGCATGAGCGCTGAGGCGATTGGGAATGCAGTAGCGGCGGCTGGCCGATTTGGGAATGAGAGGAAATGAAGTTAGGGTTGAGGGTTTGGGACGGGTCGGGTAAACGCGAACGGGTTTGAAAGTTTTGGGAATATATTCGGTCGGTTCGGGTCGGGTCGGTTTGAAAAGTTGTCAACCCGACCCGAACCGACTTATTCTTAAAACCGCCTTTTTCGGGTCGGTTCGGGTCGGTTCGGTCGGTTTTTTCGGTTTGAACCGAACCGTGCTCACCCCTAGGCCGTAGTAAGCCCCTCCAGCTCATTAGTATCATCTTTTTACTCGGTGGATCTCATAAATAATATTATTTATATAAAAAGTAATTAATTTTGGATTCGAAATTATGTGATTAATTACAGTATAAGTGATGCATGTATACGTATTATAACCATTGATTTTGGTTGCAGCATGAAGAAAATGACGTGTGTCTAGCGACGAATCTAGAATTATTGGGGGTGCGGTATTTTAGTTCCACATTAGTTTGAAATGTTCAGATATTAAGGGCAAATTCTAATCCTATGCAGTTACATCTTCAGACATAGACTACGATCATTTATGATCATAGACCATGATCTTTTATGCTAACATGTTTTAATGTCCTATCATTTTAATAGTGATTAGAAAGATTAATTTTTATAGCTCTTTATTTGACTACATGTATAATGTTTTCTCTTAAGATTTAAGGAAATGATTAGAGTTGATATAAATATGCTCTGTCAACTAGTATGCCTAGTTACAGGAGATGTGATGAATTAATGTCCTAAAAAATCAAATCAAGAGATATGTCTTATAACTTCTATCTATATGATGAATAAAAGTTATATTAAAATTAGTCCATTAAATAATTAAATTCCTATTAGGTTCCCTTATCCTTATAAGAAAAGATTGATTTGAAAAATAACTTAAACAAGAAGGGGACCTAATGTCAAACAATATGAATGACTAATTATAAAATAACTTGATAAACTCTGTACAATGCCTACTAGATAAAAAGTTATGATTTTAGACTTTGTAAAGTCTGAGAATAATCTTGTTGACCCTTTGACTAAGGGTTTATCCAGGAGTGTGATTCTGGATTCATCGAGGGAGATGGGGTTATGCCCATAAGTGAGGTCACTGACAGTGGTAACCCAACCTTTATTTGGAGACTTAGCCCCAATGTAGGTTCAATGTGGTAGAAACAAGCTGGACTAGTGATATTCATATGGAGCATCGACCTAGATATATTTAATATCATTACGGTAGCATTTGCTACTACCCCTTCTCTATGGTGACGGTACTCTAATGATACAGCTGGCTAGGCTGAGTTTTACTCTTAATAAGTCCAACGTGTGTATTGCCGAGGGTATGGTATCCAGTTATAGTACTATTGGAGAACTTACCTACGTGAGAGGAGCCGTGATGGTCGCGGTTGAGGGGGGGGGCTGGGCTAACCCCTAGAAACTCTCATGAGTCGGTTATTGTAAGCATATCCTTTAATGCTCAAACCGCTTTGCTCAATAGATGAACACATATTGTGTGTGTTTTCGTCAATACCTGGTTAAAGAGGTCTAATTCAAGGCCTAGTCCATTATGTCTCTCAAGTGGCGATGAACTCACTAAAGAAAGGTTCAAAACCAAAAGCTACATCTCCCGAATTCTCGATACGAAATGTTGCCCAACTTATATTTGTTTTGTGATTTATTATTTTATTTATTGATTTTGAGTTTTCAGTCAATATTGTCGTTTGGTAGGGGGGTGGGGGGGGGGGGGGGACTATTGGATATTTTGTTGGAGAAAAGATAATTTTGCCTTCATGAATAGTCCCACATGGAATAGTGTTATGAATACAATTAATGCATGCATAACAGCTATACATTACGGGGAACGTTACAAAAATTTATGATGAACGTTACCGTATTAATTGTAGGAATTGTAATGATTCTCAGCCCTATATATACACCACTTATTCACATTCGAAAATTATAGAGAAACAATTCTCTTATCTTCCTCTTCTCTCCTATACATTTTATTTTCGTTCATATAATAGTGTTATTTTTGGGCAATCGTTCTTCGTCTAAGCTGAAGGTCTGTTCTCTCGCCCGAGTACAGAGGCTGATCGCTTTCGGGGGTTTTTACCATTAGGGGAGAGAGGATCATCTGCGCCAGAACGATAGACGGGTCATCAATCTTCTAGGACAGTGTTTACACGACTGCTTCCGATCAGGCCTGACTTTCTTATTATTTTATTTCGGATTTATTTTGCATTGATATAACCTTTAATTTGATAAATTTCCAACACTGTCAAGATCAAATATATTTTTACGAAATTAGCTGAAAAGGGCTACCTTCGATAATGAAGCTTCACAAATCCAACATCATACAAATAAATACAAGAACTTCAATTCTAATAAAAGAAACACAAAACAACACAGAAATAATCAATATCAAACAAACAATAATTTGAGATCGTTCCGAGGCCTCTTGAATTTCATGATTTTTTTCGTAATAAAGGGACAACTAATTCTTTTTGTAGTTCAGATATAAAGTTAACAAAGATTAGATGTTTAGGTCCAAATCATCAAGACAAAGAGGAATAGATGAAACTCTAATCCTATTCTAATTGAACTCTTTGCGATAGACAAAGGAATCGGCGAATTGGTAGGAATTGATGTTTTTCACAAAGGAAAAAAAACTTTTGAGTGATAATATTACTTAGCATTATCAATGGAGTTGTATAAGTAATTTAATATTAATCAAATAGTTGTAGACCCTGTTAGATTGTTTCTTTTCCTATCATATAAAGAAGTTAGTTGTGGAGCCACATGATTCTCTTCTAATCCTTAATAAATAACATAACAAATAAGAATTATGTTGTGGATCCCATGATAAAAGTAGGGTGTGTACTAAAAATACTTTAAAAATCTTTTTTTTTTGGTGGGGGGGCGTGGCCCCTGCAAGCCCCTCCGGATTCATCCATGCATGTGTCTCCTTGTCCTATAATTAGTCCGATAAATTTTGGATCTAAAAAATATTCTTATATAAATTATTTAAAAATATCTTTTAATTGTGGGACACATTAAATGAGCTAATGCTATTAATCTACTAATCTACATAACCACTTATAGAAATTCTCAACAATCAAGGATATAGTGAATTCTTGTCTTCTTACCTTGAGGGCTATTACAAGAATACACTATCTAAATTTGTGAAAGCATTTGATATTCAAACCTTAAGGGCATGTTTGCTATATCCACTCCCAAACAGTAATTTTGGGAGTTGGATTGCCGAAAATACCCTTTTGATGTTGAGGGTGTTTCTGGAATGGACTTGGCCTGTTTTGGTTTGGGAGAAGGGCAATTTAGTCCTCACACACCCTAAAGTTACTGTTTGGGAGTGTGAATAGTTGGACCCCCTTAAGGGACCGTTTGGTTTAAGTTTTTTGCTTAGGTTTTTGGGCAGAAAGCCTGCCAAAGTGTCACTTTTGGCAGGCTTTCTGCCCAAAACGCCTCTAAAAGTGGCGTTTTGGGCAGAAAGCCTGCCAAAAGTGCCACTTTGGCAGGCTTTCTGCCCAAGAACCTAGGCAAAAAACTTGAACCAAACGGACCCTAAAGGAGACATACAAAAATATTGACTTTACAAAAGGATCCTCCGCAGCTATAGGGCGGCATGTTTGACAACCTCCCAAAATGGAACTAGGTTTAAGTTTTGATCTTGGCCTCATTTTGAAAGTAACTCGGGTGGAAAAACTAAGCCAATTTTGATCAAGTTTTTCTTAAGCCAAATGTGACCCTTTAAACCAGTTAACTCAACAATGGGTCAAGACAAGCTCTAACTCAGTTCTATGGAGTTTGTCGACTCTAGTCTCTACACTCTATCAAGACAACTTCTAACCCAGTTTTGTCGAGTTTGCCAAGCAAAATTAAAAGTACTTGATTAAAGGATTTGTTTGACAACCCCAATTCTTCAATTTAAAGTTAAAGAGACAATTTAATGCAATATTAGTTAGGAACGAGTTCATTGACATTGAGTAGTGATAACTGTACAGAAGACCTTTCTTTAGATACTTATATATTTCCTATTCTTTAATTTCCAAGTTTTTTTTGCGAAACGAACGGACCCTAAATGACAAATTCCTACTGATATGTCGTTAATCACGGCTACAAGTCCTATCATAATCGTCTTTATAGGAGTGAGATGATTTACACGCTAAAAAATAGCTAAAATCATTAAACTAACCTCTTGGCCACCAATTCATTAGCGATTGGCATCACTCTAGCATCGCAGATATGATCTCCACTCTCCCTATACAAATTATCATAAACTACAAAAACATTAGGTAAATCAAATTAAAGCACGTGCTTCAGAAATTTCACGGAAGCACTGATTGCTTACTTTTAAAATTACAAGTTAAAGCTATTTTTCTCCACCTTTATAAACACCTCACCGCCTTTCCCCTTCTCACCCAAATCCACTCGCCTATCGCGCTCCTACTCCCACCGAGCGGTGACCAGAACCCAAAAAAAAAATGCATTTACTCGACGGTGTCTACAGCCAAAAATTCCGGCCGGAGCTGCAAGCTTCACACCTCATCCGACAACTGGCGCGAAACCCTTTCATCGCCAACGACCCGACAAACATGGTGCGTCTTCGAAACCGCTAAGGCTACGGCCTTCGCCCACGCTGGATCCCGTCAGAACTCGCGGAGGTCAAGGCCGAGGTCCGAGCCTCCGCCGCGCGCCGCGGAAGAAGCACCACAGGGGGTGAGGCCGGAGGCCGTGGGGGAAAGTTTCGCGGCGGAGATCAGGGAACCCGGGGGAGAGAAAGGGCGCTAGGGTTTGGTTGGGAACGTTTTGAGCGCGTGCAGAGGATGCCGTATGGGTACGATAAGGCCGCGTAGCCTGCATGCGCGGGTCACGTGCGAATGTGATTTCCGCGCTGAGGGTCGAGGGCGGACGGCGGGGGGCTGTCGGCGGATGTTGGAGGTTTTGCTCGGCTTCGTCGTCCTCGTCGTCTGATTCATCGACGAAGAGGAGGAAAAATTAGCTAATAGGTTTTTTTTTTTTTTTGCGCTTCCCGAGAAAAGGAGAGAAATTTGAACAAAAGCAGCAACTTATTCGAATCTGGCTTAGGAGGAGTTATCCATGAGCAATTGAACTCGATAGAGTCTCTAAACAAGTAGATTACACATCAGCAACTTACCCGAAAAATAAATCAAGGTCTCTAATAATTTTGACCCAGGCAAATTTGTAATAGAAAAACAAAGCAAACTAAATAATCGACAAAAAATGAGATCACGTACGTACATAGAGGGGGGGAAATAAAACAGAGGAAACAACCCATTTGGATAAGGCTTATAGAGAAGTTAATCAAGCTTTAGTATGAACTATATTTTCAACAAAATGACAGATCATATGGAGCTTATTGAAGTATAGCTTCAGCACTTCCGGTGGTGACCCTCAGTATCATCTGTGATAACCTAGTTTGTACCAACTGACCATCGTACTATCCATATATACATGAATTCAAAACAGGATACGAATTAGTAGTTGTTAGTCTAAGTTTGTAGACCCAAAGCTGAATAAAACAGGATTGACGCGGGTCGGTCGACCGACGAGATGGATCCAGTCGCCCGTGACGCCTGTAGGAAACTGAGAAGAAATCCTCACTCTATCCGATCGACCGCGAGCTAGTCCGGTCGCCCGCAAACGTGAACCAAAATCCTGTAGGAAGTTGACTCTCTGGCCGGTCGACTGCGGGACGTGATCCGGTCGACCGGAGTCGGGATTTTCAGTTTCCTGATTAGTTTGGGATTCTGTTTTGGGCTGGGATCATATATATACCTAAACGTTTTAGGATTTGTAGAACACGTGAAAAAGAGGATTTTGAGAGGATTCTTTCTGAGAGATCTCAGAGAGATAAAAAACTATTTGTGGGTATTGTAATCTTCTTCTAATTCAATCAAAGAATTGTGTGGTGTGGCTTGCGAGGACGTAGGCATGTTGCCGAACCTCGTTAAATCAAAAAAAACAGTGGAGGGACCACTACATAATCACGGCCATTGATTATCTAGTTAATGGTTGTGATTTTATCTTGTAGTGCAAATTAGGAATGAGTGCAATACACGGGGGTATGGTAAGTGTTAGATTTAGATTGTATCATAACCGCCTACTAAATAATCAACGATTGATATTAAAAGCAGTGGTCTCTCCACTATTTTTTTTATAGTGGAGAGGATCCAAATCCCTTCCCTAGTGTCCACTCTAATTGTCCTGATCATCTAGGCACTTAGGGGCCGTTTGGTTTAAGTTTTTTGCCTAGGTTTTTGGGCAGAAAGCCTGCCAAAGTGTCACTTTTGGCAGGCTTTCTGCCCAAAACGCCTCTAAAAGTGGCGTTTTGGGCAGAAAGCCTGCCAAAAGTGCCACTTTGGCAGGCTTTCTGCCCAAGAACCTAGGCAAAAAACTTGAACCAAACGGACCCTAAAGGAGACATACAAAAATATTGACTTTACAAAAGGATCCTCCGCAGCTATAGGGCGGCATGTTTGACAACCTCCCAAAATGGAACTAGGTTTAAGTTTTGATCTTGGCCTCATTTTGAAAGTAACTCGGGTGGAAAAACTAAGCCAATTTTGATCAAGTTTTTCTTAAGCCAAATGTGACCCTTTAAACCAGTTAACTCAACAATGGGTCAAGACAAGCTCTAACTCAGTTCTATGGAGTTTGTCGACTCTAGTCTCTACACTCTATCAAGACAACTTCTAACCCAGTTTTGTCGAGTTTGCCAAGCAAAATTAAAAGTACTTGATTAAAGGATTTGTTTGACAACCCCAATTCTTCAATTTAAAGTTAAAGAGACAATTTAATGCAATATTAGTTAGGAACGAGTTCATTGACATTGAGTAGTGATAACTGTACAGAAGACCTTTCTTTAGATACTTATATATTTCCTATTCTTTAATTTCCAAGTTTTTTTTGCGAAACGAACGGACCCTAAATGACAAATTCCTACTGATATGTCGTTAATCACGGCTACAAGTCCTATCATAATCGTCTTTATAGGAGTGAGATGATTTACACGCTAAAAAATAGCTAAAATCATTAAACTAACCTCTTGGCCACCAATTCATTAGCGATTGGCATCACTCTAGCATCGCAGATATGATCTCCACTCTCCCTATACAAATTATCATAAACTACAAAAACATTAGGTAAATCAAATTAAAGCACGTGCTTCAGAAATTTCACGGAAGCACTGATTGCTTACTTTTAAAATTACAAGTTAAAGCTATTTTTCTCCACCTTTATAAACACCTCACCGCCTTTCCCCTTCTCACCCAAATCCACTCGCCTATCGCGCTCCTACTCCCACCGAGCGGTGACCAGAACCCAAAAAAAAAATGCATTTACTCGACGGTTCTACAGCCAAAAAATTCCGCCGGAGCTCAAGCTTCAACACCCTCATCTCCGACAACTGGCGCGAAAACCCTTTCATCGCCAACGACCCCGACGACATGGTCGTCTTCGAAACCCTAAGCTACGCCTTCGCCCACGGCTGGATCCCGTCAGACTCCGGCGAGGTCAAGGCCGAGTCCGAGCCTCCGCCGCCGCCGGCGGAGAAGCACTACAGGGGGGTGAGGCGGAGGCCGTGGGGGAAGTTCGCGGCGGAGATCAGGGACCCGGGGAGGAAAGGGGCTAGGGTTTGGTTGGGGACGTTTGAGACCGCAGAGGATGCGGCGATGGCGTACGATAAGGCCGCGTACCGCATGCGCGGGTCACGTGCGATGCTGAATTTCCCGCTCGGCTTCGTCGTCCTCGTCGTCTGATTCATCGACGAAGAGGAGGAAAAATTAGCTAATAGGTTTTTTTTTTTTTTTGCGCTTCCCGAGAAAAGGAGAGAAATTTGAACAAAAGCAGCAACTTATTCGAATCTGGCTTAGGAGGAGTTATCCATGAGCAATTGAACTCGATAGAGTCTCTAAACAAGTAGATTACACATCAGCAACTTACCCGAAAAATAAATCAAGGTCTCTAATAATTTTGACCCAGGCAAATTTGTAATAGAAAAACAAAGCAAACTAAATAATCGACAAAAAATGAGATCACGTACGTACATAGAGGGGGGGAAATAAAACAGAGGAAACAACCCATTTGGATAAGGCTTATAGAGAAGTTAATCAAGCTTTAGTATGAACTATATTTTCAACAAAATGACAGATCATATGGAGCTTATTGAAGTATAGCTTCAGCACTTCCGGTGGTGACCCTCAGTATCATCTGTGATAACCTAGTTTGTACCAACTGACCATCGTACTATCCATATATACATGAATTCAAAACAGGATACGAATTAGTAGTTGTTAGTCTAAGTTTGTAGACCCAAAGCTGAATAAAACAGGATTGACGCGGGTCGGTCGACCGACGAGATGGATCCAGTCGCCCGTGACGCCTGTAGGAAACTGAGAAGAAATCCTCACTCTATCCGATCGACCGCGAGCTAGTCCGGTCGCCCGCAAACGTGAACCAAAATCCTGTAGGAAGTTGACTCTCTGGCCGGTCGACTGCGGGACGTGATCCGGTCGACCGGAGTCGGGATTTTCAGTTTCCTGATTAGTTTGGGATTCTGTTTTGGGCTGGGATCATATATATACCTAAACGTTTTAGGATTTGTAGAACACGTGAAAAAGAGGATTTTGAGAGGATTCTTTCTGAGAGATCTCAGAGAGATAAAAAACTATTTGTGGGTATTGTAATCTTCTTCTAATTCAATCAAAGAATTGTGTGGTGTGGCTTGCGAGGACGTAGGCATGTTGCCGAACCTCGTTAAATCTGGTGTGTTCTTTCCTGTTTATTTTCCTGCAAGTTTTATCTTTTATTTGCAATGATTTTCCTACTTTCCTACTCTCAAACACAAGGTCCGGAAGGGCACGAATTCGATTTGATTGTTTCGAATACCCAACAACTGGTATCAGAGCTTCGTTCAGAAGGTTTGTGTGAGAGCCATGACTGAGGAAATAAAATCTAAGATCGAGAAGTTTGACGACTCAGACTTTGCCTACTGAAAGTCGCAGATGAAGGACTATCTGTACCAGAAGGATTTGTACAGTCCGTTGATGGGCAAAGCTAAAGGAAAGAAGAAAGAGCAATCAGACGAGGAGTGGGAGATACTGGATAGGAAGGCTCTAGGGCAAATCCGGTTGTCGCTCGCAAAGACTTTCGCACACAATATATTGAAGGAGAAGATGACGGTGGGGCTTATGGAAGCGCTCGCGAAGATGTACTAGCAACCGTCAGCCACAAACAAGGTGCATCTTATCAAAACACTCTTCAACCTCAAGATGGCAGAAGGACGCTCCTTCACAATGCACCTCATTGAGTTCAACATGATTGTTGTTCAACTTATCTTCGTTGACATCAAGTTTGAAGATGAAGTGCAGACCCTATTGATCCTATCGTAGTTCTCGGATAGTTAGACAGGTTGTGTGATCGCAATTAGCAATTTGATGGGGAAGGAAAGTTG